GAAAAAGTTGAAGTCATCCCAATAGTGATCGGAGCCACAGGAGAAATACCTAAGAGTCTACATAAATATATTGAGAACTAAATCTGCTCGCAGAAACTATACCTCTCACTTCAGAAAGCTGCTATCTTAGGTAGTTGTCATATAGCACGCAAGGTCCTGGAATGTAAGCCACATAGACAAAGAGAAACCAATAGTCACACTCAGACGCTTGCAGTATAATGCCGCGTTTGAGGATACCACCTGCAGTAGCAGAGAATAGCTAACAGAAAACGGAATAATAATTATATAATATATAATATAATAATTATAAATAATAATAATAATAATAATATATAATAATATAATAATGATAATTAAATAATATCGATTTGTATAATAATAATAATAATAATAAATAATAATAATAATACATACTTTATAATAATTATAAATTAATAAATAATGATATACTAATCATAATAATATCTTATAATAATAATATTCTTTAATCTAATATTATTAATAATAATTTTATATAGTAATAATTATAGTAATAATATATATAATTATTATTATAATGATGAATCCTATTATCTACTCATAATATGTTTTGAAAGGAATTTCCTACTGTTCACAAGGCATCCTTTTCTGAGACCAAGACTGCCTCGGATGAGAACAATAAGAATACTGTTCATATCTTGAATAGAGTAAATCATGTCATGACGACCAAGTTGTGTGACATAACCGGTATAACTGATTATCATGACCTAATTATGCCGGCGCTTATACTGTGATTGAACTGCACCATCAAAAGATAAAGCAATCATACAAGCATACTGAACAAAAACCCAGATGGCAGATGAGGATCGAAGGGAAAATAAAAGATCTACGAGCAGCTATAGGCCCCCTTGTTCAGTACATCAAGTCAGATGCCCCGTCCAACCGGTTGCGAAATAAAGTCACAACAATAACCCAGAGACATCATGATGAGGATAATCAAAATCCGATACAGATCCTCGATAAGCTCCAACAAAGGTTGTCTGTATACGCAAATCGCCTAAAGCGATATAAAGAGTCGCATCAAAGAAAACTACAAAATAGCATATTTCGAACGAATCAAAAGAGGTTCTATCGCTCACTGGAAAACGAAGATGTAAGTACTACGGGTAAAACTCCAGAAGCTAGAGATGCATTAACATATTGGGCTGACCTATGGGAGAACCCTAAGATCATAATAATAAAACAAGTTGGCTCGCGGAAAAAGAGGAAAACCGAAAAATACCCATGATGCACTACAACGTCATAACTGTGGAGGATGTTAAAAGATCTATAAACAACACGCAGAACTGGAAGGCGCCTGGACCTGATGGCATCCATAACTATTGGCTCAAAAATTCACTTGCACACACGAAACGTTAGCGATGATTTGCACAAGCCTCTTGCAAGATCCAGAATCCATTCCAGCATTTCTGACAACGGGAAACACCTACTTGCTTCCTAAAACATTCCCTTCTGTGAGCGACCATCAAAATACAGGCCAATTACGTGTCTTCCAACCATATATAAAATAATTACTTCAATTTTATGCGATCAAATTTACCAGCACCTTGAAAGGCATCATCTGCTCCCAGAAGAATAGAAAGGCTGCAAAAAGGGAAGTCGTGGCTGCAAAGAGCAACTTACAATAGATACAATCATCACGGAGGAAGCAAAGGGCTGTAAGAAAGATCTGTTGTTGCATACATTGACTATAAAAAGGCCTTTGACAGTGTTCCTCACTCTCTATTAATTGAAATGCTCCAAATATATAAAATCAGCCCTAGTATAGTGAGATTGCTGCAAAACCTTATGCCTCAATGGAAAACTAATCTTGTAATAACCCATAAAGAAGAAAATATCAACATCGGTGCATCAGCATTAAAAGAGGTATCTTCCAGGGAGATGCACTAAGTGCTTTATGGTACTGTATTGTATTAGCACCTCTATCTAGAATGCTGCACAAGAAGAACGAAGGTTATAAGCTTCAGAACAACCTACAAATAAGCCATCTAGCTTACATGGATGACATCAAACTAATATCTGCCACTAAGGATGGACTGGACAGGTTGCTTAAAACCATAAAGAATACAGTGCTGACACAAGAATGGAGTTTGGCCTGGACAAGTGTAAGATTGGGGCTATTAGAAAGGGCATATGGGAAGATCACCCAGGGTTTATGTTGGAGCAGGGTCAGACAATAAGAGCATGTCTGAGAAAGAGAGCTATACATATTTGGGATAGATCAAGCAAGGGGTATCAAACACAAAGATATGAAAGAAGCTCTAAGCAAAGATTAACGAAGGGTCAATCAATACTTAAGACTCATCTGTCCGCAATACACAAAGTAAGGGCCATTAACACATATGCTATTCCGACAATAACATATAGCTTCGGAATAATCAAGTGGACAGACTCTGACTTAGAGCAGCTAAACAGAAACATAAGAGTCTTATTTACAAATCATAGAGCAAGACATCCCAAGAGTTCGATCGAAAGATTCTACTTGCCAAGATCCAAAGGGGACGAGGCGTGATTGACCTTAAAGCAGCTAACCTGCGGAATATAGAAAACCTCAGGAGATTTTATAGAAAGGCGAAACATCTGCATATCACAGAAATATAGCTTCAGCTGACTACAAGTTCACACCACTGAACCTGTCGGATGAACAGTATGAACCTCTAACCCATGTGACCACCGACGAACAATGGTATCATCAATGGAAGTCCAAACAGCTTCATGGAAGACATCCAGCCATGCTCAGCTCAGATCACATTGATGCAGAAGCGTCACATGGATGGCTGAAAGTGGGGAGCTATTTTCGGAAACTGAAGGTTCATGATTGGCATTCAAGATCAGGTGACACCAACCTTAAACTATAGAAAATACATCATGAAAGAAGAAGGCATTGAAGATAGATGTCGTATATGCCATAACAAGTCGGAAACAATAGAGCATATCCTGACGAGCTGCACTCCCCTAGCTTCCACTGAGTATCTGAAGCGCCACGACAACGTGGCTAAAATAGTTCACCAAGAAATTTGTTATGCTGCGAACATACTAACTGACCGCACCCCATATTACAAGTACCAGCCGACTCCAGTTATAGAAACTAACAGCCATAAAATATACTGGAATAGAACAATTCAAACAGATCACACCATGGAATACAACAAACCAGATATCGCAGTTCAAGATAAAATGAAGCAAGTACCTGCATAATTGACATTAGTGCCTGCCCCACATAACATAGCTGAGAAGCAGACAGAAAAGGTTCGCAAGTACTTACCACTAGCTGCAGAAGTAAAAACACTGTGGAATCAAGAAAAAGTTGAAGTCATCCCAATAGTGATCGGAGCCACAGGAGAAATACCTAAGAGTCTACATAAATATATTGAGAAACTAAATCTGCCACAGAAACTATACCTCTCACTTCAGAAAGCTGCTCTTAGGTAGTTGTCATATAGCACGCAAGGTCCTGAATGTAGCCACATAGACAAAGAGAAACCAATAGTCACACTCAGACGCTTGCAGTATAATGCCGCGTTTGAGGATACCACCTGCAGTAGCAGAGAATAGCTAACAGAAAACGGAATAATTATAATAATAATAATATTATAATAATAATAATAATAATAATTAAATAGTAATATATTAATAATATAATAATTATAATATAATGATAATAATTATAAATAATGGTAATTATAATAATATTGATAATTGTAATAATAATAATAATAATTATGATTATAATAATAATAATATTATAACTAATAATAGTGATAATAATAATGATAATATGTCTGCTAATTGAGGTATCTGTACCAGACGACAACAACGTCAACACCAAAGAAGCGGAAAAGGCCAGAAAATACAAAGACCTCGAAATCGAAATATCGCGCATGTGGAAGACAAAGACAAGAACGGTACCCGTGATCATCGGAGCTTTGGGGACTGCCACTATGTCATTCAAGAACAACATAAAAGAACTCCCCGGAGATGTCTTTGCAACACAAGTTCAAAAGATAGCACTGCTAGGAACAGCCCACATTTTGCGGAAAACCCTTTCCGACTAAAGACCTTAGAACTCAGGCAGAGTTCCGGTCAAGCTCATCCCTTCCTCTAGGAGTGAAATACAGAATGATAATAATAATAATAATTACAATAATTATAATAAATAATAATAATACCAAAAATTATAATAATAATAATAATTAAAAATTATAATAATATAATAATAATGATATAATAATAATAATAATGATAATAATAATGTCTGGCCGGTTAGGACACTGTTGCCAGCAGTGTCAAACCCGCTACCGTAGCAACAACAAGGATAGACGGTACAGCCAGCGATCCTCCAGTGTGTGCCAGGGGTTTTTGTGTCTCTTCCTCCTGGTGCAGGAAAACATATCATGTGCAGAATGTGTACATATCGGCTCCTAGATGGAGTCGTATAAAAAGAGCCACACCCATAATTTCTTTATGGAGATGAATTTTGAATATAGCCTCGGAAAAAGGTCGCTGCCTGAGGGTGATCGTCAGGGCATATCTGGAGCCGGCGCTGGATATGACAGCATGCGGGACGTCGGTGGCAGGGTGCTGAGGAGGCGGGCCCCTGTCGTCCAAGAAGCAACAGCCCCCCAACAAAGTGGTAGCCAAACAACAACTAGTGCCACCGCTGCCGAAAGTGCTGCACAGGAATCTCAGCCAGTGCTCACTCAAGCAGGTCTCCCTAGAAGACGTATAAAGTGGACGGTGTCCATGAATGAGTCAATCATGCGAATCTTCTACAAAGTTACCAACCTAGGTAGAGAAACAATCGGCTACAGACCACGACTTCATACCGCTTTCTGTAGTGAATATCCGGAGATCAAAGTATCTCAGCAGAGAGTGGCAGACCAATATCGAGTGATAATCAAAATAATCTTATCCCACAACCACGGCTGAATGCCATCAAACAGGAAGTGCAGCTTGATCTTATGCAACAAGAAGGGAGTAATAACGAAATACGCGATAATGGTCAATCTGAGCAAGAACAGATAGAAAGTGAACAGCCTGGAGTTGACGACAGTAATGATCAAGACACAGAAATATTTGGTATATTAATAACTGAAATGGGTAGAGCATATGCCGAATTTGATGGAACGAACCCGCTAGAAAGACCACCATTACCAAAGTTGAAGTCATCTAGAAAGCTTGCTGTGGTATTGTGTCAGTTAAATAAACAGATCCTGCCAGAGTATCTAGCACACTCCAACTGTATAGAACAACTTCACACACTGATATACTGTGCAGCTGTTGCAACAGTAAGAACACTTGGTGTCAAAATGCCAACTCAAAAGATTACTGAAAATTCAGTAAAACCAATAACACCAAAATGGGAAAAACGTCTGGAAAGAAGAACGGCAGAAATTCGCAGAGATATCGGACGTCTTACCCAATTCACACGAGGAATAACAACTCGAAAAGTCCGAAAGCAAGCTATGGAAATAATGCAACGACTCCACCATCATTCTCACCAAGACGCAACTAACATCAACGAGTGGCAATGCCTTGATACCTTGAAGCAAAAACTGTCCGTATATACTCAGCGATTGAAAAGGTATAAAGCGTCCAGTCACAGAAAGCACGACAATGCGCTCTTTCAACGATCCGAAAAGGCATTCTACAGGAAACTGTCATCCGAACCCCAGGAAAAGAGCAAAACGGTGCCCACAAAGGACCAAGTAGAGGAATTTTGGGGCAAGCAGTTTGGCTCGACAGCTTATTACAACAAGTGTGCAGGATGGATTACAGATGAAGAAGCGAAGAGCCATTATTGCAATCCCATGCAGTATAGGGCATATACCAAACAAGAAATCGTGGATATCGTTAAGCAGTTGCATAATTGGAAGGCCCCGGGCCCAGACCAGATTCATGGCTACTGGATAAAGAAGCTTTGGTGCATGCATGAACAACTAACAAGATATATCAATGACATGCTTTTGAATCCAAATAAGACTCCAACGTTCCTAACACAAGGGCTAACGGTATTAATACCAAAAGATCACAATAATACAGAAGACCCAGCAAAATACCGCCCAATTACCTGCCTTCCTACGCTATACAAGGTGGTCACTGCTTGTATATCGAAGCGAATTTATGCTCATTGTGAAGAAAACGATATTATTGCGCCACAACAAAAAGGCTGTGCTAAGGGAGCTATGGGATGCAAAGAACAGCTGGCTATCGACTCAGTCATCTGTAACCAAGCCTATACCAACAAAAGGAACCTATACATTACGTACATCGACTATCAGAAGGCATACGATTCTGTACCTCATGAGTGGCTTGTCAGGGTGCTGAGGCTCTATAAGGTAGATGAGCATGTAGTGGCCCTATTAGAACATATGCTGAAGACCTGGAGAACCAGAATAACACTGCATACAAACGGGACCAGCACCATTCAAACTGAGACGATCTCTATCCGAAGAGGTCTCTTTCAGGGTGATTCATTAAGTCCCCTATGGTTTTGCCTAGCTATAAATCCCCTCTCAAACCTCTTAAATGCAACAGGGTATGGATATAGTCTGAAAGATAACAGGAACGCATCCATAAAACTGAACCACTTGCTGTATATGGACGACCTAAAGGTAATAGCTGCTACTGAGAATCAAATGAAACAGCTGCTAGAGATAGTCGGTCAGTTCTCAGATGACATAAGTATGCGATTTGGGATGGATAAATGCAAAACCTTATCTATACGTAGGGGGAACATCTACCCTGGAGGATTTTCAAGCTGCAGAGGCCAAAACATTGACGCAATGGACGCAAATGACACATACAAGTACCTTGGAATGGCGCAGGCCCGAAGGATAGACCATAAAAAAATGAAGGAAGCTATATCGCAGACCTTCACAAAAAGAATACGGCTACTTCTGAAAACAGAACTCAATAGTAAGAATCTAGTCAAGGCGATTAACACCTACGCATGCTCTGCCTTGAACTACTCGTTCGGTATAGTTCTGTGGAGTAAAACTGACATCGAGAAACTAGAGAGGCGGGTAAGGACTATGCTAACAAAAAAAGGAGCGCACCATCCTCGCAGTGCAATAGAGCGCACAACCTTACCCCGACAGTTAGGAGGAAGAGGTCTAATGGACATCAGCAAGCAGCTAGCTCAACAGGTACTCGCCTTGCGATCCTACTTCTTTGAGAAGGCCGAGATCTCTGAGCTGCATCGCATCATATGCTCAATAGATGACACAACGCCCTTACACCTTAGTAGACGAGATGACCAACCGAGTCACCAAACCAACGAACAGAAGCTACAACGATGGATTGAAAAACCTCTACATGGGAGACATGCCAACGAGATTAGCCAAGAAAACGTTGACAAGAAAGCGTCAAACTATTGGCTTACCTCAGGCCAAATGTTCCCTGAGACTGAGGGATTCCTTGTAGCTATACAGGACCAGGTCATTCCTACCAACAATTACAAGAGGTTCATACTTAAGAACTTGCAACAGTCTGATAAATGCAGGTACGGCTGTCAGGACTCCGAAACAATACAGCACGTAACTGGTGGATGCCAAGCATTCGCTCCAACGGACTATAAGGAGCGCCACGACATAGCTGCCAAAATCATTCACCAGGAGTTGGCATACAAATTCAAACTGATCGAATGCAAGCTACAGTACTACAAATATACACCGCAATGTGTCCTCGAGAACGACAAGTATAAACTATACTGGGATCGCACTGTGCTTACGGACCAATACATAAAACAAAACAGACCTGACATAATCATTGTCGACAAGGACGCCCAGAAAGTAACACTGATTGATGTGGCCATACCTAATAGTAACAATTTAACATACAAACATAATGAGAAAGTTGCAAAATACAGGGAGCTAGAATTTCAAATTAAACGCCAGTGGAAAATGAAGTACGTGGAAACAATACCAATAATAATGTCATCTACAGGGGTGATACCAAGAAGGCTGCTAGAAAACATCAAAGCGCTGGAACTGAGTGAAAACATTTACAAAATCATACAGAAAGGAGTTTTGCTGGCAACTGCCCGCATAGTAAGAAAATTTATGGGAAATGCAAGTACCTAGGGAGGTCACTATTGAGGCTTACCCCTTTGATGCTTGAAGCGTCCGGGTTAAGCCAGAACACCCCGATTAACGGGAGTAACAAAGCCCTACGGCTATTAAAAAAAATAATAATAATAATTAATAATATAATAATAATAGAATAATAAATATAATAATAATTATAATAATATAATATAATAATAATAATATAATAATAAAATAATAATAATAATAATATAATAATAATTATAATAGTAATAATACAATATTATAATAATAATAATCATAATTATAATAATAATGATAATAATATAATAATAGCAATACCATACCATACCATACCATACCATACGATTTATTGACCACCTATACATAGAGATATGTTTGAAGTCACAAACTAGATAAAGTTTATACAGAGTCTGTCTTCTTGCTCTACACACGATCACTGATCACTAGGATCACATGCACTTAAATATTCACTTACAGTATAGCAGCAGTTTCTTAACAAATAGTTTTTGACAAACCTAGAGAACTGTTTGTTAGACATCTTCTCAATATTGGACCGCTTATGATATCTAACAAAGTTATTGTAAAGCGACACATTAATCTTGTTGTGTTGTGTCATGGCGATCCTAGATTGCGGTAATGATATATCATTAGCGTATCTTGTATTATAGCTGTGTGTCTCTGATCTTATCGAAAAAGTACTCAGGTTTGCGTGAACATGTAAAAGGGTCTCATGTATGAGCAGGCATGCTAACGGCAGTATGCGCATCTCTTTGAACAAACCGCGGCACGTATGATCGTAGGAGACGCCAGCTACAATCCGTATAGCAGCCTTTTGCATTGTAAATGCTTTTTGGGCATTGACAGAATTACCCCAGAGGATGATACCATACGACAGATGACTATGAATGAGGCTAAAGTATACAGTTCTCTGGTTTGTCTGTGCAAACACTGAGCCAGTTGCCGCATGATAAACATCTGTCTGGAAATCTTGGTACAAACCTGGTCCACATGCTCCGACCAGGTCAAGCGGCTATCCACAACGATCCCTAATAACTTTACGGATGATGAAGTCTCATTCCATTTGTCTGATGTTATTCTTAGCTTGCTGGTTTTCGCTTCATTAAGTTTGAGCTTGTTTGCGGAGAACCCACCACTTAACCTGGTCGAGACTGTGGGCCTCGTCAAGTTGGGTAGCCTTGGAGAGCAGAGTAGTGTCGTCTGCAAAAAGGTAGCATTTGCTATTGTTGACATTTTGTGGGAGGTCATTGATGTAGATTAAAAATAATAGAGGGCCCAAGACAGAGCCCTGGGGTACCCCGTTCGTAATCGGTAGAACCTGGGATTCTACTCCATCAAGGCTAACCATCTGTCTCCTATTAGCTAAGTATGATCTCATAAGCTGTGATGGCTTGCCACGGATCCCATAGTACTCCAATTTGTCAAGCAGTATAACTGCGTCTACACAGTCAAAAGCCTTGGTTAAGTCACACATAGTTGCTAGAGCGGTGGTTCTCTTGTCAATGCACTAATGCATCCTCAAGAAAACTAAGAATGGCTTTAATGGTTGAACAGTGCTTTCGAAAACCAAATTGGGAAGCTGAAAGGAGGGAGTGCTTTTCAAAGTACTTTATTAATTTTTCTTTGATTACAATTTCGAATAATTTACTTATTAATGGAATTATTGTGATTGGCCTATAGTTATCGAGATTATCTTCATTCCCTTTCTTATGAATGGGAATGACCTTTGACAATTTAAAAGCATCAGGCCATACGCCTTCATTAACACACTTATTAAATAGTATTGTTAAAGGTTCAATGAAATCCTCACTGGCTGTTTTCAACATAGCACTGTTCATACCATAGAAGTCGAGTGAGGGTGAGTTTTTAGTTGAGCTATAGCACATCTCACATCTGTTTGGAGTATCGCAGACATGAAACGAATGCGGTGTCTTGGGAGTACGGTTGAGGAGATACAAGTATTAATAGTAGGCTTTTCAATGCCCTCAAGAATTTTACAAGAAATAGTACTGAAAAAACTATTGAATTCATCACTTGAGACGTTTGTGTGTTTCTGTTTCCTGATGCCTTCTCGCTATCGACTATCTTCCAGATTGCTTTTTTTATTTTCCGCCTGGTGTATCATTTCAGAGTAAAAGTTCCTTTTTTCCAATTTCAATTTTTGACGGTATATTCTACGTATATCCTTATACCTCTCCCAATCACGCTCATCCCCGCTATGCGAAAACTGGCTCTTTGCGTTCACCATATCTTTCCTTAGCTGCTTCAGTGTCTGCGTATACCACTTAACGTTGTGAGCTGACTTATCCACAGCTTTTAACGGAAAACAATTATCGATACAGTTTGATATTAAACGGTAGATACTATTTGCCATGTTATCTGCAGAGTTAGAATCTACATTCATGTCGGACGCCATACTATGGATTCTGTTGGCAAATGAAACCATTTTTTTTTTGTAATAATGCGTCTTTTGGGCGGTTTGATTGAATGAATCTCATCTTGTAATATAAAAAAATCACAAAAAATTCCTAAGTGGTCGGAAATGTTCAAATCTATTGTCCCTGTCTCAATATTATCATTGTTCAAGTTGGTCAATATATTATCCAAACAAGACGCCGAAGTAGGTGTAACTCTGGTATTTTCATAAATACATTGACGTAAGCCAAATGAATTTGAAATATTACATAGGTGTGTCACTGTTTGAACATTACTGCTGAAATCTAAATTAAAGTCGCCAAGTATCAATAAGTTCTTATGTCTAGAATAAATACTATTCAGTAAACTATTGAAGGCATCAATAAATAATGAAGGATTTCCTAAACAAGGAGATCTATAAACAGTTATAATAGCAATATTACCAATTGTTGCCCCACAAAATTCAGCATGGAATGGAACACAAACATTATTTAAATCCAAGGGTTTAATTTGCTGATTCATTCGTGCAAATATAGCAACACCACCATGTAATCTTGGAGGGCGACAGTAAAAGGATATAAGAGAATATTGGTTTAGGTTTACCATTGCCAAATGATCATCACTAAGCCAATGTTCAGAAATGCATAATACATCTACAGGATTATCATTTAACCACAAATTGAGATCATCAATCTTGCTTGGCAAGCCCTGTACATTGATGTGAAGGGTTCGTAGGCATTGGGCGTTGTTGACCCGCTGACGTGTTTGATCTCCTTCTAGAGCGAAAAAATCGGTTGATTATTACCCCATCCGGCCATATGTCGCTCTTTAGTATATTGTCCGCTTCGGTAGCTAATAATGTCACCTTGAATGATTTGTAACTTTCTGGATACCTGGCATTCAGCTCCTCGACCTGTACTGATGCAGCAAAGCCCTTCAGGTAATTGGCTAAAGCCTGCATTTCAGTCTTTGTATCCAATTTTGTGACGTGGTACTGGTACTGACGGTTTTGTTGAGCTGAATTTGCTGCTTTCAGGGGGCATGCACTATCACTGGTCAATTTGCCGACTAGTAAGTTTCCAGAACGCCTCCTCCTCTCAGATTTACTTTGAGAGTTAAGTGTACTTTGCGTATTAGTACTCGCCTGTCGCACTTCATTTGACAAATTGCTGTTCCCAATCACTTGGGTGTCACTCAACATTTTAGGTGTGTGGTCTCCTTTATTTTCATCTGTGTGTTTAGATCGCTGGCGCTCGAACAGCTGGTTATTTTTTGCTACCGGCGCTGAACTGGAGGAATGTGCGTAACTACTCGTAGTATGCGATTTAAATAATAATAATTATATGATAATAATGATCATAATATTAATTATAATAATAATAATTACAATAATAATAATAATTAATAATAATATATATTATATAATTATATTATAATTATAATTATAATATATAATATAATAATAATAATAATAATAATAATAAAATAATAATGATTATAATATAATAATATATTTAATAATAATAATAATAATAATAATGATATAATAATAATAATTACAATAATTATATAATAATAATACAATAATTATAATATAATAATATATAATAATAATAATAATAAAATGCATGGCTCCGTAGTTCTGGTCTGAAGGGCGGAACAGAAAGCCTCTTGATTGCTGCTCAGGACCAAGCCCTCAACACACGCTATCACCAAAAGCGCATACTTGGTTGCGAAGTGGACAGTAAGTGCAGGATGTGCAATCAAGCAGAGGAGCACATAAGCCACATCGTGGCTGGATGTACCACACTCGCACCTACTGAATACACAAAAAGGCACAACAACGTAGCAAGGTATCTACACTGGCTAATGAGCAAAGGGGCTGGTATAGAGGTCTGCGATAAATATTATGAGCACACTCCAGAAAATAATAAAGTTGTAAACAATGGGGATGTTCGAATCATGTGGGATGTTCCCATTATCACTGATAGAACCATACTTGCGAACCGCCCGGACATAGTGTATCATGATAAAAGAACAAAAACCTGCTTACTAGTAGATGTAGCGGTTCCTAACGATTCGAACGTAATGCTGAAGGAAGCAGAAAAGTTAAGCAAGTATAAAGACCTGGAAATAGAGGTAAGCAGAATGTGGAACGTTAAGACCCGAACAGTTCCAGTCATTGTAGGAGCCCTAGGGACCCTTAGAAAGGGGTTACAGACCAACCTCTCACAACTACCAGGAAAACCATCTGTTGCTGAAGTGCAGAAAATAGCACTACTGGGCACTGCTCACATTATCCGCAAGGTATTAGGGTGAATCGCTTTGATCTCGGGTAGAGATCTGGATTCGCTTAAGACTGTCACAATAGGACAAGAGGAAAACACTAAAATAAAATAATAATAATTACAATAATTATAATGATAGTAATAATAATAATAATTATAATAGTAATAGCTACAATAATTATAATAATAATAATAATCATAATTATAATAATAATAATAGTAAATATTAATAATAATAATAATAATAAAATAATAATAATAATAATTATAGCAATACTAATAATAATAGTA